AGCGCGACAGGCGAGATTGTTATCCTCTCTCTAATGCGCCGGTCTCAATGCCATCCCATTATTAGACCTAGTTTGTCACTGGCACTCATTCATAAAACGGCCCCTACCGACTTTTTGAATGCCCCGACCAAAGGAGCTGTCTTGGGCCACCGAGCTAGTCACCACCGATAAGATGAAGTATCCGTCCATTCATCTCAAATAGGCAAAACCTTATGCCAGCCTATTAACCATGCCTAGACAAGGGAAAACTTTCAGAAAAAAATACGCAGTCCAATACAGTTAAGCGGACCCTGTGTGCATGTTTCTCCAAAGCCGGCTATTATGGGGATTTAGGAACAGACTTTTGCATCCGTTGGAAGCTTTCCTTACAAGGTAAAGCGAGATGCCACTGCTATCAGACGCGTACACCTCTAAACTGTACTCGTAGTCTCACAAATGCTTTCACACGCTCATGCCACCACAAACGGCTAAAGGTACCCTCTGTCCACATATACCAAAACATAACACCGACGCTAACCACTACCTCTCCATTAACCTTATATGATACATTGCAAAAGGGTTCACAGATTCACGGAATGACATACAGGATCGAGGCTTTTGCCAAGTTTCCCGGGTCGGTTTTGTTCTTGCCGGTCAGTGGCTGTCGTTCACCTGAAAGGCACAAGTGAAAATAAGGTGTAGCGCTGCTCTTTATGGTCTCAGAACCGGGCATATGTATGCTTGCCAGCGCGAGGATTCGCATAAATAAATGTCCAGTAGTGCTTTTAACCGGGTTCTAAAAGGAGCGTGTACAACCGTCGGAGGAAGCTCATTCCACGCACCTACTACCCGAAATGAGAATGAATGTGTGTGCTCTGAGCTTGAAATTTTCCTTACTATGTCCCCGCAGTGTGTTTGCTGTGTCAACGGTGAAAAACCTGTTTGCCAAGCTTTGTTCAAACAGGACATAAGGAAGAATTAGGCACCCTCGCAGGCGACGGTGACGTCCTTCGTGCGTCCCGGTTGGCGTAATCCAGGAGCGGTCTGACCTAGGCCCCATAGACTATTTGGCAGCCCAAGCGATTAATAAGCGAGAAGGTGCGTCGAACCATCCGTAAAATTGCAAATGCCCCTTCGGGAGATTTCTCACGATGATGTTAGAAGGACAAGTTTGAGGAGACCCAAATGTCCAAATCCTTTTCGGCATCTATCCTCATGATGTTTTCTGGTCCCTTTTCACCATGCATAACAAAGGCATTCGTTGAATCCCCTCCAAACATCAGTTGGATGCACTTTTCATCATTCAGAGGAAGGTGCCAGTCCAACGACCACTGCTTGGCAGCGTCTACATCCATTTGGAGGGCGCTGGCATTGGAACTCCAGGATTTCAAGTCGTCCGCAAAAAGTAAACATGGACTCGCAAGAACGTCTGGGAGGCCGTTGACGTAGATCAGAAACAGGAGTGGTCCCAAGACGGAGCCTTGAGGAACTCCAATGGAGAACGGCGCTGGAGAG